CGGGAATATCTTTTCATTATTAATGTACATGAATATTGAATGATTTAATACTTCAATATTTATGTACATTAAAGTAAGAATCAAATTGTTCTACATATTTGCGATCACAAATGCAGAAACGTGTGCGCTCTATTTGCGAGTCTTACAAAGTAGTTACGAAAATGCTCGCGTATTTTTCGTAAAATTTTATTTTGTGATCGATATTTTTTTCCCAGTCACTTGAATCTTTCGCGAATTGCTCGCTCAAACGATTTCGTAACTCGGCGTCGCGGCGCCCGGATTATCTTGTTACTTCAAACCAGCTCGACATACCTTTCCCGTACATCGACTTCTGTACACTATACACATATCGCACGTCGTGGCAATGTCAAAGTTAGTCTTGTCCATTTACACTAACCTTCATCCCCGATCGACTAAACGCGACAACGCGAGGAAATCGCGGTCATAGATTGATGAGGAAATAAACAGTATTTCACAATACCAACGTGTGATTTTACTTAGACCTCGATGCTTTAATTTCCATCTAAAATGTTCCAACAAAGTGCAGTATAAAGTATTTTGTATTTTTATTAGAAACAGTCCACTCGAGTCCTCGTTAAAATTTTATGTCGAATTTTTAGTATGTCTGAGTGTTGATTTAACATATGACTTTTTATTTAAATTGACTTTCAAAATTTCTTAGTGTTAAAATAACACATAATTTATGAGTAAGTGAATTTAACATAAAAATAACATTTTTTAAAACAAAAATTCTAAGATAAATGAATAAAATGTGTTAACATATTATAAATGTTAGTTTTAATAAAGAAATATGATTGCGTGTAAATTGTGTCAGTGTCACGTTTTTGCATTTATTTTTTACATAATATTTGTGTTATTTTTTAACATGTTCATCTTGTGTTAATTAATTCAACACAAAAATTGGAGTGGACCGTTTGGGATATGTAAAAAATGTTAAATTTGACACAAATTTTCTATGTAAAATTAAAAATTTGTTGAAATACTAAAATCACGCGAGTGATTTAGCTCGAGTTAATCTTTGCTTCAATTTTCAACATTAAATACAGCTCATTCACGTAAAATCACAAAAAAACCAAGATTTAATTTTTTCTTAATTGCTTATTTAAGGTTCAACGACCTTTTGTTCCAAAACCTTTTGTGAATAAAAAAAAAATAGAAAATGAATGAAGAAAGAATAAAGAATTAGTTGTATTGAGCTCTAGGTGTTGTATATTGAATTGAGACAGTTTCTATTACGATTATAAAGAAGTTAATGATGAAATAAAGACATAGTCATAGATACACTCCACAGGCTGTCGCCTTGCAAGTCGATCCCCTCCGAGCGTTTTCCAGATCGTTAAACATCGTGTCGAGCAAGCGTGTCGCTCATTGACCCTCGTGTTCCAAGGATGTCCGATGGAAATTGACTAACGAAGAGACGTCATCGCGCAAAATGGTCCCGTAAAATAATTGCTGTTTCGAAATATCGCGATTCGAGAACTCTCATGTCTTCTCTCGATAGAAAATAACGTACCATTAATTGCCAACCATACTGTTTTAGATTTCGAGTACATCGAAATTTCGAATTTTCTCCTTTCCTTTGTAAAAGGAGAAAAGTAAGTTACTGATGTGATCTTTCGAAAATTATGAGAGTCACGACGCGTGACAAAATTCTATTCTACGAAGAGGTTGAAGATATGAGCATCTCTTATTATAATCAGAGGCACGCGCGAGTGTCACTCGAGACGAGATGAGAAACTCGTGATTTCTTTGCGATGATAAACAGACTAAACGTGCAACGTAAAGTCTTACAATTTCATTATGCTCATATAAAATTTCCTCTTTACTTAATAATAATATTACAGACCATAACGCGTCTCTTATTAAATATTGCTTCATCTTCTTTCTATGAGATAAAATATATTTCACAATCAGAATGGTATATGTTCTTAAAATGCTGAATTCATGTTTCTTTCATGTTCTTTTGTGATTTCTTAACTGAATCTTTGCTCATACATTAAATGGATTACCAATAAAGCAAATGCTACAGAAAAGAATAATCAATTACCAGTAAAATATCGTTACATTCCTTTTCTGCAATTACGTAATTCAATTAGTCATTTTATTAAATGAATTTTTTTATTAAACAACATCTTAAATATTTTTCGCCTTAAACATAATTTTTTTAATTTAAATTTTATTTTTAATTCGTCATGGCTTTATGCAAGATCCTGTAAAGATCGTAACAACGCTTCAGAGGAGATTTCCTGAAATCATTTTGAAACAAAAAATTCTAATATCAAAATATCAAGAAAAAATATTTTTCATAGTAGATATCAATAATTATAATCAATTTTATCTTCACATACGTAATCTTTATGTTGAAAAATAATCTTTATATTAAAAAAAGCCGATAATAGCTTTTGCTTTTAGCACTTTGCATTGTGCCATACTTAAACGTACAATTTTGAGGCGATATAATTCGCTAACTTTAAATTCGCTTATAATTCAAAACCTATTTCTAGCCTTGACATTTTAACATTAAAATTTTCGTCTGAAAATAATTTCAGAAGTCTATCCTTAAATGTTCTTTATGGAATATTCAATTAATCTATTTATCTTATTTTCGTACAGATAATTCTATACATATTTTCAATATTTGTTAGATAACACAAATATTTCTTTACTTCATAATTCTTTACTTCATCCTAATCTTCGAAATATATACGCGTTTGGATAACGAAATATATTGAGAAAGTCGCCTCTCTCTACCTTATCACAAAATCGAAGCGACCGTAAAATAAAGAAAGTAATAATAAGTCTGTTTGCGTTGCTTGTACTTTTTGCACTCAGCATCTTCGCTTCTTTCTTTTCAACATCCAAATATATATTTATTTCCTTTTAAAACTCAATCGAACATAAGATAATAATTTCTACATTTAATACATTAAATTTAAATATTAATAATTTGAAATTAACTATTAAATCTAAATAATGAAATACATATATATTACCACCTGCAAATAATATAACAGAAAAATAAAAAAAAAATATATATATATATATAAATTTGTGGAAAGTTCAAACGATTCAAACAGACCTATTAATTCACATTAAGCGTAATCGTTCATCGATCGCGACTCGCTCCTTTCGCAAGCGAGCTGCACTCTTCGGAAAAGTTCACGAGGCCGCGCGAAATCCCGACGTCGACGCGTCAGAAGGTTAGCCGCCTCATGAATTCTCGCGTTGAGTCTGTACCGAAATGAAATCCACGTTACTCACCGGGATGACTCGTCGCGCACTTCCGTCCTCTCTACCCTCCCGCCTTCTCTCACGTCTCCTCACGCCGGTGTGTAGCTCCGCCGAATCCGTCTGGCGGCGTAAATTCGACGATTACCGTCACACACCTTCTTCGTCACGCACTGCGCGTCCCTGCCTCTATCTCGCGGCGCGAATTTCGTAGCCTCGTAGAGAAATTTCGGAGTACGCGGGATTCGGGAACGACGCGCGACGAACGATCCGCTCGCGTCGTAGTAACGTCACGGAGTCGCGCGGCCCCGGGAACCGTCTCTATCTCTCTTTCTCCCTTTCCCTGCCGCGAGCGAGCGGACCGTGCGCGGAGATACGATACCGCTCTAACCGCTGCCGTCGCGACGACCTTCTGCGCATGTCGCCATTCGCGCGCGCGCATATCCACCAAGTTCGAACGGAAGGAACTTGCGGAACCCCGCCGCTCGCGCCGCCGCCGCGCCAACGAACCCTACCGTCGAATCGCTCAAGATTTAGTCACTTAAACATTATATTTACAGTCGATCAAAATGTTAATATAGCTCTTTTTCAATGATCTTTCGTCTCTGATTTGAGGAAATAAACCGTTGTTACCGTTTATAAAGTATTATCAGTAACCGAACAGAAATTTCTTTGTCTTTCTATTTTTTTTTAAATATCTGCAAGTGTTTTATCTATGCAAAAAGAAAACAATTTTGCTATAATCTTCTTAATGAAAAATTTATAATAGTTTTATTTGATACAAATTTGAAAATAATTGTGTTGAACCGTTAAAATTATTATGTAAAATGTTTGAGTGTTGATGACAAAAACATCTTATTCTAGTAATTAGTTTATGGATATATTGGTTTTTTTAGTATTATAAAAGTACAAGCTGTGTTGGAATAACAATACATTTTTCAAATTGGTGTATCTTTTCAAAGTGGAAACGAATTTAATCTATCGTTGGAAACATTACTATCGTCATTCGTAGCTTCATATCACGGTATAACACATCGACACACGATACATGTCGAGATCTTTATTTCCCACTCCTCGCGAATAGAATTACCGGCTGTACTCTTTTAAATACATATACAGTGAGAAAAAATTTTCGTACAAGGAAATTTTTTAGAAAAAGTCTTATTTGTAAAAAATAAACATTAATTAGCAATTTTATTATTAACAATGAATATATTCTGTTCTAACAAACGAGTTTCGCATTCCTAATTTTAAAAGCTAAATTTCTCGATTATATGAATATTTTTTGAGCATCCAATAGAGATTTTTATTTTCGCTTATTTTTCAGATGATATATTTTCTATAATTAATACACATCTTTTTGGTATATATAATTTTAAGAAACATATAATCTATTTTTCTTTATGAATAAATTGTTATTTACATAGCAAGAAATGATCATTAATTAACGACGTATTGGTGTTAAAATCATCCTATCGATATCAATTCGACATCAATTCGATGACTTATTTCTCGCTGGATAATATTTATTTTTTAAAAATAAAGTTTTTTTAAAAAATATTTTCTCTGTACGAATACTTTTTGCACTCACTATATGTATATATTCTCTTTGAGATCATAAAATTTGGTCATTAATTAAAATTTTACATTTATAAAATCATATTAATAAGAATTATGAATAAATTTATGTTCTAAAAATTTTATTTTATTAAATAGCTTTAATGCACGAAACAATTATCCTCCTTCCGTTCTCGATCGTCATGTTTTTTTTTTTAAAAAAAGTGTACGTATGTACTCTTGCTGTGATTTATATATGTAACACTACTCGCAAGGTGTTCGTATTGCCATAAATGCGACCGAGTAATTCCCTTTGCCGGTATCGTCGAACACAATTCTGTCTTCGACAACCCAGCGACTGTAACGAATTTCTGCAATGAGACGAAAGCCCAGCTTTAAGGCTAACGACTGACTCAAACCCGACGTGAAGATGCCACCTACAACCGATATGCCCAATTTGGACGCAACTTGGATGCAAACCTTCAATAGAGCCGTGCCGACGCCTTTTTGCTGGTAAGATGGATGAACACAGAGAACTTTGATTCGAAAATATAAGTCGCAATCGAATTCTTCATATACGTTCGATCGTTTTATTAGAGCATTCATCAGGCCCATAATTTTCTCTAGTGCATCTCCTTCAAAATTCTAAACCAATTAAATGTTTTTTTGTTATATACTCAATTTACTCAATTCGACTTATATCTCAGCTGATCTTAAGAAACTTATCTTAGAATGCTACTCATAGTTCTATAATCTTATTTAAGATAAATAATATTATAGAATCTAAATAATATTATAGAATCTTAAAAGACCACCTAAGTGATGGATACTTCCTCCAGTTTTTCCATTTACATATAAAATATAATTTTTTTGTATAATGTAATAATAATGTTAACATGAGAGTGTTATTTGGTATTCTTATTACATTGAATTCTGGTGTCCGTTTTTTGAGCCCAATATAGGTTAACTTTATCTTGATTCAACTTATTCTTTATCTTTTTAGAAAAAGATGAAGAGTTAGTTGAATCAAAGTTAAGCAAGAATTAGAGTTATGAAACTACAACAAAACCTTACGTACTCGTACTCGATTGTATACGTCGCTTTTCTCCGAATTGCTATTGATTCGAGTAACAGCAACTCCAATTACTCGTCCAGATGTCAGACTAAGCGCAACCAAACTGGTAGTGTCTTTCATCCATGCTCTCATAAGCTCTAAGTATGACTTGACGGACGTTTCATCTTGCAACAAGGCAATTGTTTTGCACATCGGTTCCTCCCGAAAATAATGATGCTGCGAGAGAATCAATAATCTTTATTATTACATTTGTTAGAAATGAATGAACCTTTTATTTTCTATTATTCTATAATTTTAATGAAATTATTGTTAGAGAGTGAGCCAATAAAATCAGTGAGAATATTGATCCCTGCCTCTATAAATAGTAAGGAAACAATAAGGCCAAAAATTCAGTACGTCGGTTGGCGAATAATCCGAGCTCTATATCTATTGATATCTTATGAGAATTCTCTGAAGTAATGCATTTCCTCAAGTTTCAGTAATTACATGATGATAACATGCGAGTGATAAATGAGATAACCGTGATTTTCTAATCGAATTTTGTGGAAAAAATATTTGGCAGATGAGAGAAATAGGAAATAAAACGCAGAACAAGGAAAGTCGAAAAAAAAAACGTCATTTTCGTACGATCAAAGCTTGTAATTAATTGGCGTTGAACTATTTAATGCGAGCGTGTTCTCTCTAGGTTTTCCTCCTTTCGCAGAGCTTCGTCGTAATGCGCTCCCTTGAGATCCTGAATTTTGCATATCGCCGGTGAATCCCACTCCAGAGGTGCAAACATTCTCGCTTCCATTTCAACAAAATCGATCTTTTTTTCCTCATCCATGACAAAGTTTATAACAGTAATTTATTTTGTTAGCAATAAATGAATATAACCGTAAACTCAATAACGTGTCCCTAAATCTGTTTTGTCAATCAGCAGTTTGAAGTGAGGTAAAATAGTGAGATTTTCTTTTCGCACTCACATTTTTTAAAATAAGTAATAATCGATTATTAGATAACTATAAGACAATCATATCTCTCTAAATTTAGTAAGAAATTAATTATATTAAACAGACAGATTCTATTAATTTAAATCATTGTCTTTTAATAATTTAAATATTCAGTTGAATAAAACAGTTATTCGAGTGAAAAATCGAAAAATCCTAAGCTAACTTCATGAATTTGTGATCAAATCTGAGATAATTTTCTTTTTCGAATAAAAATTTAAAATTAAATAATAGATTTATTTTTAATAAATAATAAAAAAACTCTATAGTCTATAGTCTGTATCATATCCGAAAAAGATTAATGTCAAATAATAATACCTACAGTGAGAGCAAAAAGTATTTGTACAAGGAAATTTTTTATAAAATATCTTATTTGCAGAAAATAAACATTAATTAGCAATTTTATATATGAATACATTCTGTTCTTACATTGGCAAACGATATTCTAAATTTCTTGATTGTACGAATACTTTTTGAGTATCCAAACAATACAATTTTTAATTTTAGCTAATTTTTCAGATGATATATTTTCTATAATTAATACACATCTTTTTGGTATATATAATTTTAAGAAACATACAGTATTTCTATTTTTTTTATGAATAAATTGTTATTTACATAGCAAGAAATGATGATTAATTAAACGCCGAATCGATGTCAAATTGGTGTTGAAATCATCGTAGTTAATTCAACAATTCGATGACCCAAATTATCATATTATTAATTCAACATCATTTTGATGACTCATTTCTCGCTCAATATTTACTTTGTAAAGATAAATTTCTTTTAAAAAATATTTTCTCTCTACGAATACATTTTACACTCACTATATAATTAATGTAAAACAAAATTATTTTAGATTTGATCATATACATATATGTATACATGTATCGAGTTAGTTTAAAATTCGAATCGTAGTATGGCTAAGTCTGTGGACGATTTGGACGCTTTCAATATTTTTCAGTACTTCTTATTTTACGACTAATGAACGATAAAAACAGAATGACGATTAAAGCGCGTGAACATCCAAATCGACCGCAGTCTAAACAAATTTTCTAATATTGAACGAAAAGTAAGACAAATAGTTTGCAGAACAAAGATATATAAGTAGCCCGATCGTTGATATTAATTTGAAAATTTTGAAATATGGTAAGCTGCGTTAATTTCCAAGAATTCTTTGTTATCGTCAGTCGGCCGTTCGGCCTTAACTCGCACAGTACACGTTGTTTATCTCAGCAGGTTGCCAAGTCACAAGAAATTTCCTGAAATTCAATAAAATTTAATGAATTGATAGGAAAACAAAATTTTAGTCGAAATCTACTAAAATTTTTAAACTTTTTCAATATTTATAGAAAAATATCAGGAAATTTTATAATTTTTTAAATACGAAAGAAAGTTACAACACAATTGTTATGAAATGTATAAAACTACATATTTTGCAATTACATATTGTTCGTAGAGATTCTCTAACGAATTTCAATAGATTACTTATAGATGTCGCAGTCGCTGCTCGGAGTATTATAGAGGCCCTATTCTTGAACAAATATCGCATACAAAAATAGCAATTCCGTATATAATCGACCAATCACAATCGAGAAACTGTCATTTTCATATGCGAAAATTATTCATATGTGCTCAAGAATAGGAGCCCTGATCTGTTTTCTATGACTGAACTAATGTATGTACATACATGCAAAGTTCCTATTAAGTAAATGATCTCAAATTTGTGATATTACTTTGTTAAGCTTGCTAAGAATATATTTCTTACTAAAAATGTTTACGTCTAAATATATTTTAATGCATTTCAATTTGTTTTTAGTTATATAACTCGCAACGTTATATAAATAATGCTACATTGCATTTTGTGAAGTACTTTTATTATTAAAATAAAATAATTTGCTCACTCCAGTTTGTGCCATTATTTACTAATAAAACATAAAATAAAAAAATAATTTTTGGAAATTTTTTTCTCAGGAACTTTGTGAACTTTTCTCTAAATTTTTATAAAATTTTCCACTTTTTTAGAAATTTCTCACATTTCGTTTTCAAATGAATTTCTCGGGAAATTTTACTACAAATTCTAAGGAAATTATTCTTTTCGATTTGGCAACCCTGCCTCAGTCAACGGCAGACAACGGCGCAGCGTTATCACCGTTCGAAGCGTTCAAAGTGCTGAGGTAATAATCCAAGCATCTTTCACGATCAATTAGTAATTATATCAAGCGACTAATTAATCTCTGCATATAGTATCATAATATCATAATCGTCGCGATCTTAGTTCATCCGCGAAATAAGAGCGATGGAGAACAAACCTTCAAATCGCTGTTTGTCGCGAATTCTTACAAACGGTTGTTACTCCCTCATTTGAATCCGAATAGATCTTATTTTGTGCCTCGAGTTTTTCGGCTAAATCATAGTTCGTCTATTATTTTCAGTTCGAGAACGTACATAACTCAACGAATTACATATGTGAAGTTAGTAACGGAGAGTCGCGATATATTCACGGATTATCGATAATACGCGCATTTCACAACGTATAATAAAGTGCGTGTCGCGAATGTCGGGAGTGCTGTAGTGACGCGCGATTCTCATATTCGAATAATTACGGTTATAATTAATTATGTTTTCGCAAGTGATAGAATTTGTGCGACGAAAGAACTTGAGAGGAAGAGGAGGAGGCCTAAGAGACATCAAGCGACGGCGAAGTAACGAAGTGAGTATTATTGTGTGATCGCGAAATTAAAGTTAAATCATGAATAGCACGGAGATTCGTTGTACTTGTCGTTCACCATTTGTGTCAATTTGCGAGCGGAAACTTATTTCGACGAATTCGAAGAGCGCGAATTATCATAAATGAAGTTAGTATATACAGAACTGCATTATAGAAATTATGAACGAAACGCGAACAGTGTGGAAAATTCTAGCGAATAATCAATTTCTGCGAATCCGTCACAAATTGAGAATCACGGGTCGCGTTTAATCTGGCGTTAGCTTAATGGTTTTAGTATTTATAATAATTTCGTGCGCGTATCAATTATTTTGCGAAACATTAATTACATTGAAGGATCGTTATAATTTCAACGTACTTGTATTTTGCAGATTCAACATAGTTTCCATCGCATCTCTGCCGCTGCGTGTCAGATCGGTGAGTAATTGCACAATTATTTACTGAAAGAGGGATTTGTAAAAGTTTTATCGTATATATATATGTATATAT